CACACACACACACACACACACACACACACACAAACATATATATATAGAGAGAGAGAGTGCAGAAGCAGCCTAGTTCCTGATTGTCCCTCCCACTCATCAGTGTGGAGTGGCAAACAGAACTGCTGCGAATCCAAAGTACATCTTTTAGATTAATTGATTCCCTCTTCCAGTCCTTTAAATCTGGGAAACTGTGCCAGTGTGCATATTTATGTTTCAGCTCCTGAATACCAGATACAGGTAGTCCTTGTTTAGCAACTGGGACCAGCAACTAGTTCATTAAGTGAAGTGGTCACAAAGTGAAACTGCAACTTTCCTTATGATCTTACTTCAGCTTTCTTTTGCTTTACAGACGTGCAAAGGTTGTAAATGCGAGGACTGGTCACAAAGTTACTTTTTCATCACTGCCATAACTGCAGACAGTCACTAAATGAGTCAGCTGCTAAACAAGGACTACTTGTATTTCAGTAGTCTGTCTGATAGGTGATTGCATAGTCATGTATTTTTGCCATGTTTGTCTTTGAAATACATGTAAGCTGTGAATGGGGCTACCCTTGTTTGGGTGCAGAATTCTGTGGGCCACCAGATGACAGTCAAGATACAGTTTTCTGCATCTCTTTTCTGCAATCTAGAGATTGCCTATATTTTTGCAGCCCAGATAAGGATATCCTACCCATGTGGGTATACTCACATGTGAGCTATGAATTTGGAACAGATATTTCTTCACTCCAAATAAGGAAGGCCATTTTGCTGTCCCTGAGGAAAGGTCCCAGCTACGCTTGAACAACTAGAAATATTTCACTGTCTCATAGATAATTAATAGCAGCTGTGGATTTCTGATGTTGTGTATTTTTCTTCCCACAATATTTTTGTTTCTAACAGCATAATTTCTGTTTCTTTTTTCCTTTGTACAGTAGTGTTCCCATCTCTCACTTTCTCTCCTTCCATCCCCTGACCCCTGGTAAAGCTCCTGTGTTACATAACAGGAGGAAATCTGTGAAGGATTATGATATTTTTAATTGCCTAGTAGTGCCTTAATAATAGGTGGATCTGCAGTACAGATATGATTGGAATTATTATTTGAAAAAACTACAACTGGAATGATACCAAAGGTCTTCCATATTGTCCTCAGATTTAAAACAATCCTCTGAAACAACATCAAGTATATATTTTTAAACATTTTAAATGTAGGCCACAAGTATTATTTTTGAGGGTTAATACAAATATATTTCCAGAAGAAAACACCAGTGGAAAAATAGAATAGAAATTAAAAAATAAATTAGAAACCAACATTGTACTTGAAATGAATAGGAGCATGTTAAATAAATGAGCAAACTCTGCCTCCCACACTTAAAATTTTAGGACAAGCTAATATTTTCCCAATGTGGATTTAATTTGAATTTCTGTGCCTCCATTAGGAGTAACTTTGTTCACTCTGGATTCAAAATGACAGTTCTGGAAGTCTTTACAATTTGACACAGAGACTTTAATAAAGACTCTTGCTATCCAAAGTTGTGATGATCAAGTGGCCTATAACTAAAATCAATTCAATTCAATTCAATTCAATTCAAATCAAATCAAATCAATAAATGCTCAGCCTACTGTAGAGCCATCTAATAGTTTTCATGTCCAGTTCACATTTTATTGACTTATCAGTAAGGGACTTTGCTAAATCTTTGACCAATAAAAACAATATATTCATGTATCATTCCTAATTTAGTTCAGTTTATTGTCAGGGATGAGAAAATACAAACATGGATAGTGATATCAATTCACATAAAATAACCCCCAAATCTAAAATCACAAATAGTTTCTTAATTAAACAAATTGTGAAAACTGATTGCATCTATCAAGGGACTGTAATACAGTTTTCTTCTCTGATCTTACTGGCCTCTATACAAAATTTGGCTATATACATCTCTGGGCCTAAATTGGCAAGCATAAAAGAAAATGCTTTGACCAGATTAGGCTATTGATTAGTTTTGGAGACTGCACAAAACATTCCTGAGCAACTGACCTTTAACAGAAGAGAAAGGATCTTAATGACATGGCAGAATCAATTAAAAAGGCACATGTATTTTTAAAACCATTTTACTGGTGACTTGTTTTCACATTAAAAAAAATGAAATCATAAACCTTGACAACTGTCCAAAAGCAAGCATTCTGCATATGCACTGGGACATTTTCATGATCATCTTTGGACATGCAGTTTCTTACAGGTCTGTAATAATTAAGCTAAGCTAATTAAACTAGAAAAACCTAATTTATATAGGGCTCTGGCAGACAGTGAATAAATGGCTAAGTTACAGAACATTCTATAAAAATGTCTTCATAACATGTCAGGGAAAACTGGCTTATGAAGAAAAGAATTCCAGATTGTTTTTTGATTATTTTTTTGCTCCTCTGAATATTCAATTTATGGGGACCAATCAAGATATACCACACTTTTCTCTTTTGCATTTAAACTAAAATTCAATATTTATAGTCCTCTGTGTTTTTAAATCTTGCAATCATTATTATGAATGAAATTATAGGAGAAAGAGATTGTTTATGGCTCATTCATTCTATATATTTTCTGATTTGGAGTCATATACTTTCCCCCTTGACTGGTCATCTCTGGGCAAATGCTGGTATTATTCTAAAATATTTTCTTCAAGTACTTCTATACTGTTTTCTCAGGAGTCCTCATGTGGCCTTAACAGGAGCAAAGTTATCATTTGCAGCATTTTTGGAATAGTTCTCACTTTTAGTCTTTTTCTTTCTCTACTTTCTCTCTGGATTCATGTGCAGCTGTCATATTTTATTCATTCTTTGTTTTGTAAAGGATTGGACAAACTCCTCCCTCTTCAGAATAGGATATTCCTCCTACAGCAAGGTATATGCTTGTCCTACTGTATTTATGGAGCAGGACATAGGAACACAGAGCTTCAGATGTGCAGTTATGGCTAAAAGAAGAGTCTGTACAAGCCCTAGGAGAGGAGAACACGATAGAGAAAACAATGATTCTTAGGATTTACTTTTCTTGAAGTTGGGTTGAATAAAAGATACCCTCCTTACATTTTGTAGTGCTTTATTCAGCTGGTATTGTGCCTTATCCCTGATTAATTATTCCTTTTTATTCATTAGATTTGAATCAAGCCTTTCCTCTAGAAGCGTAAAGCAGCAATATAGTACCCTTCCCTCCACTACTCTCCTATAACAACACCTGAAATAGACTGAGCCAGGAGATAGTAGCTAGCCTAAGGTCACCCAGTGAGCTTCCATGCCTGAGAATGGATTTGAACCTGGGTCTTCCCGGGGCTAAGGAAGCAGCACTGGCTATCACCTTAACACACATTTCTTAAAGGGAGATGCTATCAGTGACTCCTAGCCAGAGTGGTTGTAAGTTATCCCGTTTAATCTGAGGCAGTTCATCTCTCAGTGCCAGAACAGAACAGAAGCAGGGTATTTTTTTTTGTTTGCTCCCCAGAACCATCTGCTCCAAGTGTGCTCTCCATACACAAGAGGGTTGGAATGCATAGCTGAGAACTTTGGATCATAATTTAATTTGGTTGTAGTTCAGATGATGGTGAAGAAAATGAAATCTACACATAACATGGCCATTTATACTGTTTAAACTCCAGAGCAATCTTCCATTCAGTATTATTCCTTATCTCACTAATGAGTTCCTTCTTCAAATGTAGTAGGGTTTATATTCATGGTATAATTTTTATAGCTATTTATATCAGTCTTTACAGATCCACCTCCCATAGGCTATTTTCAGAGTGGTTTGCTAGTAACAAACAAAAAGAGGTTGCTATAGAAACAGAGCAATTTGTAGAATGGAAATGTAGGAAAAATGCTGTTAGGTATTTATCTGTTACTGTTGGGAAGATAACATCAATTTGGGTGGCATGCTTTTTTTAAAAAAGTAGAGATATGGTATTTCAGTAATTTCGTCTATGCCCTTTATTTAGGAGAATTTAGTCCCTTTAGACAGATATAGTGCATGGGCATAAACTTGTCAGTTTCCCAGAGGTGGGGATGGGGGCAGGCTGGACTCAAGTAAGGGGTATCCAGAAAAATGCCTTTCAGGTAAAAATACACAACAATGGAAATGAAATAGATCTGAAATGGTGTCAAGACTGACTCACTTTATTGGGACATAAGCTTATACATGGAAAAGAGAATAGTAATGAGAGTTTCCCTTATTTTTAGTTGGGAGACACAGCACGTGAGACCCACAACAGGGTCTCAGACACTCTAAATGTGCTTTGTCAAGTTGGGGTTCTCTAGATGAATGTGTTGGTTACATTGCAATCAGTCTTCCATAAGATTCAGTTATCCCCAAGCAGAAGAGTTTGGCTTCCTCATGTGTGACCATAGGAAGGTCTTTAGCCTACAAAGAATATTGTATTCAGAATACATATACAGAATATTGTATACAGAATATTACAGGAAAGGTCAAAGTTATTTTGATCAGCTTTGGCAATTCTGGGAGTAACTGTCAGAGATGGTTTCCTTTTTCTTCACTCAAAATATCAGACCCCCCTGGAAGAGCTGATATTTTTACATTCTGTCCCTTGGCAATGTCAGTTAGCATATCATGATGAAGTTTGGTAAGTATCCGAATCAGTTCAGTACAAGTGTACAATGTTGGTGCTATTGTCCTCTCAATGGCAAACTTTTCAATATGGTTCATATCTTGGCATAGTTCAGATGAAAAGCTTTGGTGTAAACTGTTGCGAGTGGTATCAACAATGCCACAAAATATTCTTCTATAGAAATCCTTGCATCATACTGAAGAAACCTTTTGCTCCTATTAACACCTGCACTCATTCATTGCCATTGTTCTGCTAGGATTGTGTTCTTTGCCTAGAATGACTCAAAATTGTGCCATAACTGCACTGTTCTCCCCTTAGCATAAGCTAAAAGAAATTCAGCTTCATGAAACTATATCTTAGCTTTTTGTAGAGCCGTGTTTAGTCAAATCAACCAACAGAAACAGCAGTAACTGAAAGTTCCGTGCATGTCCATCTGCTTTTATTTATTTATTTGACAGTATTTATAATCTACACCAATCCCAGCTGACTCTGGGAAGCTAACAAAAAAGACAGCAAGACAATTATTTAAACACAAAAAGCAAAAAGGAACAATATATTCAAAAGTCCCAATGATGGCCATCCATAATCAGCTAAGGATGACATCCTCTGGGACAGATCTCTATTAGGAGGACACCTGGACACCCACCCA